ACAGTATCACGTAGAAGAGAAACTGCCTTGTCTACGATATGTGTGCACACACGTATGCCCCAGGTGCTGAAACGTTATTAAAAAAACACTCACGTGAGCGATACGCAACGTTGAAGGCACTCCGTTAATTCATGTTGCATATATAGCTCTTGTTACAAAAGCCTTAGATTTCTGGAGTCAATTGATGAGGTAAAAACTTGCTTTTTAACTGGCTACCATGGTGAAATGACACCTGAATCTATTCTTGACACGACATTACGAGGCACACAGCAATAGAGGACCGCCTGGTGCTTTTTCAATGTGTCTCTAAATCCAACCACACAAACTTTTCAACTTGATCAATATAGACTCGATCCTTTGGGTCAGCAGTCGAGCACCATAACCACTAGACCACTGTGGTGGGTGATCGGGCCTCACTAGCCAAGTGTTTTTGAATATTTAATTGAATATTAGTTCACCAAAGTATCGTTCTAGTTTTTGGATGGCCGGAGCAATTTTTTTTTCACACTGTCGAAAAATGACAATGAAGGAGTCACCATCCCGACACGCCACCATCTCTTCAAATCCGCATGCCCAGCCTGCTTTGCACAGTTTTTTTTCCATTTTCGAGTGGTTTTCAGTGAAAGTGATGTTCAGGTAAAGTTACTTCTTCAAAATCATAGCACAGCTTGACTGAAGCTTCTCAAGCTGCCTGTGCCAAATACAAGCTCATAAATGGTAGATTTGTTGAGACCGGTTGTCCAGAGTGGATGATTTATGTGACCGCCAGGCGCCCTTTTCTGGGGCAACACCAATCAAGTGTCGATCTCCCAAAAACGATGGACTTCTTGAAACTTCTAGCTGGTTTATCACTATATGCTATTCATGCTAATGAGAATTGCTTTAATGAACCAGCTGGTGCAGTTAGCTAATACAATAAGCCAATGTCCTGCACTGCCCTCTGTTCACTGACAACCCAGTCAATAGTGGACCGAATTGCTCAACCCAAGGCATCCGTACAAAATTTCATACTGGTACAACCAAATACAAGTGCAAGTCTTCGCGCAAGCCCAAATAATTATGGTTATGAGCAATTCTTTTGCAAGCGCTGCCATTAGGATTGGTGCTGAACTTTCAGAAGATTTAAGTCTCCGACTGTTCCCACAGTTAGAGTGATGATTGTACAGTAATCCTGCACCGTAATTTAACTCGAAAGAGGTGTCTGGCCCACAGCAACAGTAATTTGTACCTTTGCCCAAGATTTATTTATTTTTTCCATGGAGCAGGTAGCACGATCCGACCCCCTCCATAGTGCTCTCTAGCTCCTCCCAAGATTATTGTTTTCCTTGTGAACAACAGTAGCAAGTATTTTATGTGCATTAATTCCCCCCAAATTCTCAATAAATTGGGTTCTCTCTCTCTTTCTTTTACAGCACCACCATATATTACGTTAATTGGACTTGATTACAAGTCAGTGAGATACCTGGGAGTTCTGGTTTATGTTCCATTTAGAAGGACAGACTGACGGGCTAGTTGGTCATGCATAGCGGTAGCGGAAAGAATCACACAGACGACAACAGATCCCATCTTGATCAGCTGCCGTCTATGTGATTCTTTGTGCCGCTGCCTTGATTTAGCCTGAAAGCACTTGATGATGGGCCCCGTTTATTCTGAGAACATTTGCACTTGTCGACAATCAACAAATGCTCACAAAAAAGCTTTCCTTGTAAAAAGTCTAGTGTATTTGTAATTAAAGGTATAGGCATCAGCTAAGGACGTCGAATGAGACAGCTTCGCCACTGGATGGATGGATCTATTGAAAAATCCTGAGGTACATGACGCACAGCAGCTGCTCCAACGTTGGAAATATTTTTGCTTTGCAGCAACTTAAACAAGCCCAGCAAGCACCATTAATGAAAAGAGCTACAAAAGAAGCTGTTTATTCATCTTCAAAAGTGTGCTTTGCAAACAAAGACACAGGACGAAAAAAATACAATACCCGACGTAACAAGCATATTGTGCTCGTTACGTCTTGTACTGCATTTTTTTACACCCGTGTCCGTAACAATAATGTATCTGGGGATTTACATGCCGTGAGAGACGCCGTAGTGGAGGGCTTGGGAAATTTTTAAACTGATGTTTTTTTAATGTGCACTGATATCGCAGAGAACACCGGCCTCGACTGAAATGTGACTGCCGTGGCTGTGATCGAACCCACGACCTTTGGGTCAGCAGAGCACTGTAGTCACTGATCCACCATGGTGGACTCCCATGTCAACGTTTACAAGTGCACTTTTGCAGATTAATGATTAACCCCTTAAGTGCTTTGCCCAAACTGTCCCCAAACGGTTTTGAACAAGCAGAGCTAGTCCTAGCAGAATAGGTACTACCCTTTAGCGTTCAAGCAGACTCGTGTATTTAAGGCGGGAGTGTGGTTTTTCCATGAAAAGATCTTGTGCAGTGGCGGTGACTCGCACATAGCTGGTTCGTCAACACAGAAACGAAGCTTTTCTTTTTCATCATCTGCTTTGAGTCATAATGATTCAGATACAGATGTTTATCTTGTGTCTTAAAGTGAACACAGCGATTACGGTGAATTGAGAAGCTTTGCCAGAGACTAAAGCAGCTACAAAGCGAACATTGCGAGTGTTTGCCAATGGATCATGCTTGATGTGGACAATCCTCCTGCGAAGCCTCCAAGCTTTTTTTTCTTGACCCCTCCAAGCAAAACTTTCAATTTCTCATCGCTGAGTGACCTTGTGAAATATATTCAGCATTTTCAGGACAATGAGCTCATATCACTAGACGAAACTAATTGCAAAGCGGCTCAAATGCTGAAATGTTCTCCTCCAAGTAAACACTCCTACTTTAAAAAAAAAATGGGTGCCAGTGACAAAGGAAAAAATGTGGGTTTTCCTTGCTCTACTGCTACTGCAGGGAATATTTCACAAGCCTCGACAGGAGTGGTACTGGTCACGGAGGAAGAATAGACAGGAGGGAAAACTCAGCTCCCTGCCGCGCCGCGACTGTGCCACCACCTGGAGCGGTGGATGGTTGGATGGATAGATGTATCTGGCTCTGCCCTTTAGATCGGGCAGTGGGTCACGCAGCCTAGTCATAAAGTTAAGTATTATCATTAAGAGTTCACGGCCGCCTAGATCAAGCGCGCGCGGCGGTCTTTCTCCGGCCGTTCCAATCGACGTGCACCCCATTGAAAAAATGTAATTGGAAAAGTTCCTCCGCGCACCACTATGCGGTGCTCTTCTACTCCCCTGCAGCAATGCCGAGGACCCTGCGCCGTAGACATGCTTGGAGAAATGCACATTGGACGTCGTTCACGTGGTGACGGGAATAAAGGAACGCTAATATGTATTCTTAATCGAGCTTGACACAGTGAGTGTTGTTCTCTGTAGCATGCTATGATCGAGACAGAGCCAAGCAGCGTGAGGCGACTTCATGTGGCGCAGCTTATTCACGAATTTTGTCTCCATGACACATACATTAAGCCGACCGACTACGTGATCTGCCGCGCTTTTCACTCTTTGTTTTAGCAATCGTTTCTCCCACTGCCGCCTGAATTGGTGCGTGTCAATTTAGGCGACTTTGTTCTGTAAGGAATGCATTTTGTAGTTGTCGACCCTGCATATATAGCTAAGTTACGCACTCCGCAAAATTAAACGTACTGCTGGTAATGCTACAGTCGTTTTCACCTGCACGATGATCGGCGAAATTTGCTTGTGGGTAACTTAACACTTTTAAGTTCCCACGGTTCATTGATTCAGTTTTCTTACAAAACAACAATGTAACCAGATTTGCAATGAACCTTAACTTTTTGCTACCCGCGTCGCGCACAAATTATGGAAAAATTTCTTCTGCCTTTGCGGCCATTACTTTTTGGAATAACATGCCTCTTTCTGTTAAAACGATGCCCACATTGTCATCATTCAAAAAGTCGCTTAAAAGTTTTCTGTTAAATTATTAGCTGCCTGTATATGGGCTTTTTGGGGGCTTTGCATTTTTGGTTATGCCATTTAGATCATTGCCTTTCGATTGACAATGTCCGCCACTGAACGAGATGGTTTTTTTTCTTTTTTCGTTCTTTTTTTTTCTCTTTCCTTATTTGCCTTGTTTTTTGTTGCCTGATGTGTCACTTAGCCTATAATAATTACTCATCACTCTATATTGTATAATTGATTTCCATTCACTCGTTGCTTGTTAACTTGATCTGATTTATTGATTGTTATAATGCATCGAGGGTCCCATTACAGTTTTTAACTTTGGGACCCTCGTCTGTATATTAATATTACTGTACTACTTTTTTGATATGAATAATAAACTGAAACTGAACTGAAACGGTACGACAATGTTGCTAATGCAACTTCCTTATTCAAGTGCAAGCCGCATGTAGGTGAGTATGAATGTGAAAATGATAGGCGATGCTAGTCGCCTGCGAATTATAGGGTGTCAGGGATCGGTCACCCCATTTCCAAAGTACTTCCTTTCGCTAAAGTGAATCTTGTAGTTTTAAAAGGAGACATCGTTAAAAAGCTTGTTTCGCAGAAATTATGTCGTCGGTGTCTGTATGTAAGCGGAAAAGCTGCGTTGGCCGTGAGCGAAAATTCGAGGTAGATGCAATGAAGACTGTGTTGCACTTGGGCCTTCTTTACGGTAATGTGTAGGTCTCCACCGAGAAGTTAGGGTTTCATGCTAGCGATTGGGAAGGCGATTGTGTGTGTGTTCTTCTGTGCGTGAGTGCGTGCGAATGCGTGCGCGCTCGTCTGCCTGTGTGGGCGCAACCGACTTAGCGACAGAGGCTCGTTGTCAAGTAGGCATTCAATATGTGCCCCAGTGACAGATCTTGAAGGCTATGCTTTTCTGCCCATGTTTGGCCAAACAAATATGAGCACCAGAAAATATGTCACTGGCATCATGTTTTAGATAACAACCTGATAGAAAATGATGCAATATAAAATGCAGTACAGATAGGAGCTTGTTATACTAATCAAAAGCAGTTGACAAAGTGAAAATGCTAATAATCATTTATTGCACTTTTCCCTTTTTGTGAGTAAGGCGACTGGAACCCCTCAAGGGAGTGCCATTATGTAATTGTAATTGCAACATGTCCATACACTTTGGTGGTCAAACACTGTAGGTATAGACATTTCCTAGTATGTTGTCAATAAAAGACACCATTACTACCACATCCGCATATTGTATTTCTGTGCTGTGAACTTTTGATATTGTAAAGCAACCCATGCAACACCAAACAGCCTCAGTCGAAGGTAAAATACCCAGAGAAACCTAGCTTTTCACATAACAGGGGAAATAATTACCATGGTGGTCAGGCACCTGAAACCCCACTAGTTCATTCCACCTTTTCATGTCCATGTGCATGGGGAGGGAGGGGCCACTCAATGTCACAGTAAACAGCAAATTGCACCTGCTAAGTAGAAGGGCACCTAAACATGAAAGACTTAGCTATGATAATCTTTTTAAAACGGTGTCATAACAGTGAAGTTAGACGAGTTTAATGATTGAAATGCGCCTATCGGTCCTTTCACTCTTTTTTTCACAATTCTTCATTCACCTCCTTTTCGAAAGTAGCTTTTGCCATTCTTGCAGAGTTGCCCCTCATTGCCGACGCACTGTTTGAAACATCTTCTACTTCTGGTTTCTGCAACTCCGTGCTTGTTGGCCAACTGATGTTGCTATGCCGGCCCTTGAAGCTACAAATCGTGCCGCTATGGATCTTGTGTAGTGTACATGCCGTTAGAGGATTGCTAAAATGATGGATCCGTATAGTGACAGGCTGTGCCAGAGCACCTTTGCGCGAGGTGAGGAGCCGCCAACCGCGCAACATGACTAACAAGGACTGCGGGCAGCTGCTTGCAGACCAACCGGAAGTCATAGGTTGATGTTCAATCAGTCGCAGCATGACTTGAACTCTGTATCACAGAATCAACATTGTGATACACTCATCACTACGGAAACCAGAAGGTCCCAGAGAGAAGATATTGTTTCTTGGACTTCGTGGCATGACTGCGGCTTGTAATGCAGCCTCATGCGGCATCGGTGATTGTGTCAGCATTCTGCATACGATGTGCGTGCTTACTTCAAATGCTTGAAAAATTATCAGAAGTACTTAGGGGCCTTTTACAACTGCCACTAGGAACTCAGTTTCCTTGGCATCATTTTCCCATTAATATTATGTCTAACAAAGAAAACAAGCCCTTGAATTTAGACTTCTTTGATAAGAATTTAAGGTAATGTCCTTGGTCACAGCCAAATGATGGGAAAAAGTTCCACACGTGGCCAATTAGGGGTCACACGGGGTAATTTCTGAATGAGGGGCGTCACTTTATTATTTACAAGCAAGAGCAAAGAGCGTCAAGGCAGCCTTGTCATCTTCAGCCCTTTAGTTGAACGTCTAACTTCCCTCCGCTCGGCCATGTGTGCCTTCACTTTCTCTTCCTGGTCCCGCTCAACTTTTGTCCTCCTAGACTCGAACGTCATCATCCTATTCCCACTGGCACCCACTGCTGCACCCCTATTATCTCTTTCCAGTCTCTGAGCAAGAGTAAGCTTATGTGCTGCCTTCTGCTTCTTCTTCACGGCACCCACGCTTTCAGTCCTTCCACAGAGGACTCCGCCGTGGAGCTCAACGCCACTCTTTAGTTCGTACATCTTGGGTGCTGATTTGGCTTCTTGCCTAATCATCCAATGTTGTTTCTTCACCTCTTTCATCCACATTCGGTCATCGTCCGAGCTCTCTCCTTCGCTGGTGCTGCCATTCTGTTCGACTGGATCGAGCAACTCCATTATGCCGTCGCCTGGCTCCTCAGCCCCCTTTTTCTTTTGCTGTTTGTCCAGACTCTTCACAAGTGGGTTCAATAACCTGTACTCTTGACTGGCGGGGTTAACCTCAAAGTCTGGGTTTTCGAATATTGCTTTGAAGCGCGTGTCTTCCAAGAGGGTCGTCTTTGGTGTCTTTCTCGGCGCTGCAACTGCTTCTTGAAGTTTCTTCGCCAGTTCCCTGTTTACTGTTGGCAACTTGAGCTTGCTCTCAACACGGTTCTTCCTAGCAGCTTCGACGGTGTCTCTGATCTTTTTCTTGCGGTACTCGTCGTATGCGAATGGTTGCACCAGAGCTTTTGCCTTGTGGTAGAGTCTCATGTCGAGGAAGTAGCCATGCATGTATGCTCGCAGAAGGTTTGTGCCCACCAGGTGGCCTAAACCGAGGTTCTCGAGCTCCTTTTGCGTGATGAACTTGTAGTCGTCGTACACGGTGTCCTGGTGCGTTTCCTCCAGCTCCTCGGTCAGGTTGTCCAGGAAAGAGCACCAGCGTGGTGCGGGGCCCAGACTCGGAATGTAATAGGACAGCACCTTTTTCTCTTCATTGGCCAGAAAGAACAGGCCAGAGTTCCCCACGAGGCACAGGTCGTTCAAGTCGACCCCTGGCGTGACCGACGTAAAAGCCTTTCCCGAAGTGGCATCCCACAGCTTGAGCACCTTTGAGTCTATGCTCATCACGACGTTCGCGTCCGCATGGAAGGCCACCTTCCTGACGGGCAGGCCGTACAAGTGGTCCTTCACGAGTAGCGGCTTGTCAGAGCGAATGTCGAACAGCAGGACCTGACCCGTGGCTGTACCGACGCCCAGCGTCAGGGAGTCCTTGAAAGTGAGCGCAGTCACAGAGGGCAACCCATTCACTTCCGTGTCCTCAGTGACGCTGTTGAGAGCGCACTCGAGGATGCCCACTCGAGACCGCGACCTGGGATCGAAGGCCTCCACTTTGCCTTCTTGCGTGCCCAGGCAAACGAGATTGTGGAAACTATTGACACGGCACACATTCACGGCCGTCGCCTTTGTTGCGATCGGGTTCATAAAGCGGCCTTGTTCTAAGCTCAGTCGGAACACTTCAGCTCCGTCGCAGCCGAAATACAGCTCGCAAGTGGCCGGCATGTAAGCCATGTCGCGGCCAAACTTGGGAATCCTCACCCTGTGATAGCGTCCGTAGGCGGCGTGGAACTCGACGTAGCGGTCACAGTGAAGAAACACCATTTTCGTGTAGTCGTCGCTCAGTATGTCGAAGGTGACGACGTCCGAGTCAAAGCAGCGCTCGAACTTCATGGACAGCTGCGACACTTCGTAGCAGCGAACGCGAGGCTTGTAGGTGCCAGTTACCATCACGTACTGGCCATCGCGCGACATAGCGACGTTGGTGCTCACGACCGGCATCTCGAAGTCCTGGATGAGCTCGATGCGATGCCTTATTTCTGCGTTCTTTCTCGCTAGCATGCGCTTCTTGCGGTCCGACAGCCATTCTGGCAGCGATCGGCCCGCGCTAAGGTTGTATATCTTCACGTCATTCGCGCTCGACACTTGCATTTTTTTGGTACTTTTCGCAACTGTAGCAACAAAATATTTACTTTAAGACTGCAGAATGTCTGAAAACTACGCTCACATCGACACGTTGTATCGACAAAACACGCTCGGCAAATGCCGAGGAGCGAAGGCGCGTTGCGCAGCGGCTTGGATTGGATAGGCTGCGCGTGCGACTAGAAATCATTCTTGTTAATGGATTTGATTCAGCTGGTCTTCTACTCACGACGATAGTTCTAGCGCGAGAACAGAACGACGACACAGAGACAAGAAGGACACGATTGAGTGATTTGTGGGGTTTAACGTCCCAAAACCACGATATGATTATGAGAGACGCCGTAGTGGAGGACTCCGGAAATTTTGACTACCTGGGGTTCTTTAACGTGCACCCAAATCTGAGCACATGGGCCTACGACATTTCCGCCTCCATCGGAAATGCAGCCACCGCAACCGGGATTTGAACCCTCAACCTGCGGGTCAGCAGCCGAGTACCTTAGACACTAGACCACCGCGGCGGGGCAAGACGGACACGAAGGTCCTTCTGGTCTCTGTGTGTAGATTGTAAAGGAAAGACTGCAGGCATGGATAAAGAATGAGGGGGTGCTGGGGGAACTCCAGAATAGGTTTCGAAAACACAAGAGGTTGGAAGACAATCTGTTCTCACTGACGCAGTACACCGAAATAGCTGAAAAGGATCACAGGCCCCTGTGGCTAACATTGTTGGATATCAAGGGAGCGTACGAAAGCGTGGTTCAAAAGGACTTGTGGGGAATACTGGACACACTAGGTGTGGAAGATGGAGTCACTAATCTTTTAAAGGTTATCTATAAAAGTAACAAGGTAGTTATAAAATAGAAAAAACAGCCTGTAACGACGACAAATAGACAACAAGGACACGAAGCTCCTTCATGTCTCTATGTCCTCGTTCTGTTCTCGCGCTATAACTATTGTCATGTTATACCAACAAGCTACAGACTCATATTTGATACAGACTCACATTTGAGCTAATATACTACAGACTGTAGAGGAAAGGCTCCCCATAGGGCCCACCGCCCATGCATTAGAACCGCTCGGGTGCCGCCATGGTGGAACGACACTAAACTTTCGTGTGACATTTCACTCGCCCCGCCACTGCATGCTGAAAAAAAACAGCTGGCATTTCTCTGCTTCGCGGGTTTCTGTTACATCGCAGTAAGAGACTGTAACATGTGAAGTCGAGTTTCTGGCTCATGGCAATGACCAGACTACTCACCCGACGCGCAAGCAAGCCGGCCCTGAAGCCGGCGCAATCAGCCGCATGGATGGATGGATGGATATGGCTGTACCCTTTAGATCGGGTGGTGGCTAGCGTCACCAAGCCGTAAAACTTAATGAACTAAAAACTAGATTCTTTTTTTTTTACCTTTAAATAGTAAGGTTGAGGATTCGCACTTTGCAGTGAAGGGTTTAATTTTCACTCGTGCCTTGATTTTAGCCACCAATCAGACATCCTCATTCTAGTTATTTCTACCCGCTTAAAGTCTACTTACCCTCTCTGTCCCTAAACCCCATTGCTTTGAAAAACTCTGCACCATAATCCTGAACTATAGGGCGAAGCCCTTTAAAGAACATTATCAAGTGTTCGGCAGTTTCCTCCTCCTATCCACACGCACTGCATACCGCGTCTACCCCTTCATATTTGGCCCGAGAAGTCTTGGTTCGCAATACTCCCATCCTGGCCTCAAACAGTAGAGAACTACCTGGACAATTATCACAGATTCTTTCCTTGGCAATTTCCTGCTTAAAAGTTCGATAGATCTCTAGTGCGGACTTCTTAATCATGCCAATTCTCACATATCGGTCTCAGCTTCCTTCACCTTCTTCTTAACGAATAATTCTTCTTGGTTTGGCCCCTTGCTGTTTTCTAAGTATTTGCCAGTCAATTTTCTGGTTCGCTTCCTCCATTTTGTATCGACATTCTTCATGTACAAGTAGCTGAAATACCTTCCTAGCCCAACGCTCCTCCCCCATTTATCTCAATCGCTTCTCCAATTTTATCTTGCTGCTAGCTTCTCTGCCCTCAAATGATGTCGATCCTATATCACCTTGTACTCCCTGATTTAGTGTATTCCCGTGAGCTCTTAAGGCAAGCCTTAAGAGCTGACGACTTGTTGTCAAACTGCCTAAGGCAAGTTTGACAACAAGTCCCAAGCAGCATAGTAGCTCAGTGGTATAATACTGGGCTGGCACCTAGCGGACCCAAGTTCGAGCCAAACTGTGCCATTGATGCTAGCTCACGCCTGCCTAAGGCAAGTTTGACAACAAGTTACAAGCATCGGCGTAACTCAGTGGTAGAATATTGGGCTGGCACCCAGTCGACCCGGGTTCAAACCCCACTGTGTGATTGGTGCAAGATTTTTTTTTTTTAATTTCCAGCGATGTGGTTACGGACACCGGTGGCGGCGGCGGACAAAATTCATCTGCGCGTGACCCGAGTTGTGATCTCATTACAGCTTTTTGCTGTAAAAGTGTAAATGTACTAAGTCTCGGAGGCCATGACCGCCGCAAGAAACAGCGTGGCGTTAGTCCAGCGCTTGTCCGGTGTGGTTGTTCTTCTTCGCTGTCTTTGTATGGTGTTTCGCTGGTTGTTTATCTATGAACTAACTAGCCCAGAAATCTACGTTAATACTCAATGCCAGATTGCTGTTGTCTGCTTTGGCGATCACGTTGATGTTTTGACTGTTGATGTATTATGGTGCATTAGCTACTCAGAAATAACTATAACTATAATCAGAAGTATATCCGTGATAACTTGGACTGACAGACACCTAGAGAGCAAGTATTGCACAATAAATGTTTTCAGCAACTGTAAATTAATATGCACTAGCAACATAATTTTTGCTGCTTGAAGACAAGTGCTCGTGTGACTGCAGCGACAATACAGCAAGGTATGCGACCGAGCTATTTGGTGTGGAATCGTAATGTTTGACAGATGAAGGAGCTTTTTCTCTCTAAGAACACGCTGCCAAACATTCAACAGCATTATCGTAACATGTATTAGAAATGTAGGGTACCTGAAGTGCGCATAAGCTTGCTTCCCAAAGAAATTACCTGGCTCTGTCAGGCAGTATGACGCAAATTTTTCCATTGTGCACAGCTCGGGAAGCCACTTCAGCTTCTGATCATGATTTCCAAAAGCATCAATCATCCACAGTGCCATGCTGAAAGAAAAGCACATTGGGAACTACAGGAGCGAACATCACTGGGCCGGTTGGTAAGAGAACAAACAGCGTGCCAGAAACAGGAAGGTGAGAGACAGACTTGTGTTTCCATCACAGTCGTGTCTCTAGAGATGCTTGTTCCGAAATATGAAAACACAGCCTTCAACAAACACCACCATTTTCCATCTTCTGAGGCAACTTGTAACATGAATTCTGATTCTGCAGTATTTATTAACAGTGCATTACCAAGGATGAATGTATATATCGAAGATATTTCCAAGTGATAACTTTCAGCTAACTTTATTTTTTGAGATGGGGCATAAATTTGGTACTGTCGGTTTACAGCATGGACAAGAACTCAATTTTCCAGCCAAGAAAAAAAAATAAAGAAATGCATATACACTGATCACCAAGTTTCTCTGTCAAGTAAGCTTCAATATTCACTCTTGTGGTATCTATTATCAGTGTTTCACAACTGCACAGCCTTTGTTACGCATCAGAATGCATGTGCACAAAGACAAGTAATGAGCCAAACCACTTTGTCTTGCGTTTTTCTACATTGTCCTTGTGCTCATGTAGTTCAGAATTCAAGCATTGGTTTTCCTGGCCTATACACACTTCCCCACAAGGCATGCAGTACATTAAGATTTTCAATGCACTGAGCTAGTGAATCATTGTACCTAACGGTACAGAATAGGTGCTGCCAGAGAGAAGATAGCTGCTATATGTTCTCCAACTCATTTGCACTTACTAAAATGTTTCGTTGGTAAGGGTTCCTATCTCATTGGCAGGGATAAGTATTGTCTTCTAAAGTGTCTAGAGCCTCACTGCCATTGCCCCGTTGCGGTGGTCTAGTGGCTAAGGTACTCGGCTGCTGACCCGCAGGTCGCAGGATCAAATCTCGACTGCGGCGGCTGCATTTCCGATGGAGGCGGAAATGTTGTAGGCTCATGTGCTCAAATTTGGGTGCACGTTAAAGAACCCCAGGTGGTCGAAATTTCCGGAGCCCTCCACTACGGCGTCTCTGATAATCATTTGGTGGTTTTGGGACGTTAAACCCCACATATCAATCAATCAAGCCTCACTGCCATTTGCCTGCTGTCTGTAATTTATGTATGTTATAATTGCATGGATCCTTATTAGCACTCTGCTAATGATCCAGATGTTGCTAACATGTTTTTCTTTACTGTATGTAGTTTATTCATAATAAAGTTCAAAGTTCAAGTTAAAAATTCTTGTTCTCTTGCCATCCACAAAAGTATGCCATGTAAGTAAAAAACGATGTGTAGCGTCAATATGCTAGAAGCAATGTCACGGCTCAAAGGCTGCACCAAGCTTAGAAATAATTTTCATATTTTGATTCGTCCTAATGCCATCATCATCAAGGCCTTCATCACAATCCGCTGTCCTTGTGTGCGCAGCTTAAGTGTTCTGCTATGGAGAACCAACGCGCCTGAAAATCAGTGCGGCTTTCTAAATAGATTAAATTTTTCTTCCTATAGAAAGAGAGCTCATGAATTTGTAGCCCACTTACAGTGAAGCAAATTAATTTTTTCCTTTCTTTTTCACCGTGGATACCCGAGAGTCTCATAGTTACTTGTATTCTGAACTTGTTTACTTCCCCAATGCTGTCCACAACACTCGGGGCTTCATGTAGGCTAGTGCCCAAACATACATGTGGGTGGATATCTGCACTCAGTCAGAACACGCTCTGTGGTTTTCCTACCTTCCCTACTACTGGATGTTGCTTTGTAACTACGTGTTCTAAGGCAACCCAGCCTCACTTCAGACAGTAAAGCACATCCCCTTGAACGATTACAAAATGTGCAACTCAAGAGGCTGTTAAGGCAAGCTGAGAATCCATTTGAATACACAGTGATTAAAGTACACAAAAAACACATGAGAGAAGAACGAAGACTACACAAATGTTCTTCCCTAATAAATGCTTCCCTCAATATTTCGTTTCTGTTCTTCTGTTGGATACTCCAAGCTGGCATTTTCTTTGCAATACTTCTCTGACATTGCTTTGCCCTCTTTTTGGCCATGTAACATACACTGCCAGCTGTATACTTGCTGTTGTGTCCTCTAGTTATTTGCTCCCCCGTAAGACAACGCTCTTCTTATGTGAACACTTACTCACACCATGTACAGTCCTTTACAGCCCTTAACCTCGGGCAATTTTGCCTAGTTGATGTGATTGCACTGAGCATGGAGGACAAATGACGAGAACTAGACAGGCAGTGCATAAACTTTAACAGTTGACAGTTCGCACACTACCTGATCTTTTGTCTTTATCATTTCTCCTTTCGCTCAGTACAGCTACATCAAGATCCTTATCCTCTTTTTGAACCACATTTCGTGCCGAGCTTCACCCACCTCAAAACTTATTCCTTCTGTATTCTCTTTTACAGACAAGGGTTGGCACTCTGAGCACATGCCTCCCCCTCGCCCTCCCGAATTTTTTTCGCCATGCATACATTGTGCAAAAAGATTATTTGTCTGCCCGGCCCCCACTTTAAATCAAGAATGTGTCCCCCCCCCCCCCCCAAAAAAAAAATTTCTGCATACAACGCTGTTTACAGCCTTATTTGCTGTCTTCCCATGAGCACCAACATGAGGTGCCAGTAGTCCCTCTTCATGTTCAGTCCTGGTTGCACCTCTAACCTCATGTGTACCTCTACTTTATCACAGAGAGCCAAGATCGAAAACTTCTAACATGAATTCTACAAATTTCTGCAAGTAATTGCTGCAAGTGCAATGACAAGTTTTTACAGTGTTATAAAAAAAACTTTGTCCTCAAATGTCTGCTGTCAGCGAGAAATCACTTGTACAAATGAGGCAACTCACAAAATATAAATTGATTAAAAAAAAGTCAAGGCCAGCATACTTGTGAATGCTGATGTAAGCGGTGGTACTGACACAGCCTTTTGCAAGGGCTTCGAATATCACCGAAGCATCGAGACGACTAAGTCCAGACCCTCCATATTGATCTGAAATGTAAATGGCTCCAAAGCCAAGCCCGGCGGCTTTCCTCATTGCATCCACAGGGAAGTGTTCCTGTGGGAATAAAGACATTAGTTAGCACCGCCCACGAAACCCCAAACAACTTGATGAGAAATATTGGCCTGTCCTGGAGGGTGAATGTAGTGCTTCTAGTGTAGCTTTACTACATGTACTGAAATGCAGCACTGTGCCATTTGCACATCCCAACAACTGGGGAAATGTGGTCATTTTTGCAGAGTTGCCACTTTAACAGCGTTGCAAACAACTAGTGTGCTTAGCACGCAAAGTTTAAACACCAAGGTTGAAAAGTTCTTTGCTTACTGAATATAATGGTCACACTGAAGCAATGGATTGAAAATTAAATGACAAGAACTCTAAGGCTGCCTCGCAACCAATCAAGCTAAGCTAACACCTTTTTTCCTATGTCACAGAACAATGTGCCAAATGATCTCCATGCTTTCTGCTGTAATTTTCATAGCAGAACATAAAAAGAAAGATTGCTCTTCTGTTAATCGCATACATACGCATGCCTGTTCAGAGTATTATGTTATTGGAGTATTATGAAGGCATGCAATGAAATATAACATGGTCCAGAAATATCACATCGACATCAGGCATAACAGTTGCCACCAAGTGTTGTTAAAGAAAAAAATAACACTCGGTGAGGGTGATTCCACGAGAGATCGACACTGGTCCGAAAGTTAATATTTTAGATTTGATTGTTTATTTTAAATTTTGTGCAGTAGCCCAAAAGTGAACTTTGTTTTTTGTTACCTGCATAATTTAGGAGAAATATTATCGAACTTACAGAGAAACTAATTTTCTTCCTTGTCATTCTTAAAAGTTAATGACGATATAAAAGCACAAATATTAAGGTGACGAAGATGATCTTTTTTTTCTAATAAATGTACACATAAAGAAAAGTGAAGCAGAGTTGTTTGACTCCTGTTTGCAGAAGCCAACTGTTCTTGAAAAAAAGTTTGAACAGATGACAGCTTTTAAAAGTTGCCATATTTGAACTTTTTTTTTTCTTCCTAATCATAGGTCGGTGAACTCTCTCATGAGCCGACTCACTCGGACTCACTCAGAGTTGGATCAATCTGCGAGTCCAAGTGAGTAATATTTTCGTCAGTCTGAGTTTGAGCGAGTCCTGTTGAAGATAAATTTTGATGAGTCCGTGATCGAGTTTCACTTTCTTTTGCCGAACTAAAGTTCTATCTAGTGATCTGCAGCACTACTATCATCTTTACCTAGATTCACATTAATACTCACGTCTACCCCCAGGTTTTTCAAAGCAGTATCGTTCATACACCGCTTCAATAGTTATTATTTAAAGGCGTGAACTACGTAGGGGGGAGGGGGTGCCTTTACCTCCCCCCACCAACTCTCCCAGGAAATTTTTTCATTATTATATCTCATGATAATGGTGTTTATTGACTAAGTGCATCGTCAAAAAGCTGGAACTTCTTACCCATGATTTTGTCGCTGCAAATGAAGTAATGCAACATGTTTTTTAATATTCTTGTTTTATGATCTGCGAGGGTCTTTTTGTAGGATTTGAAGAAAAATGAAAGATGAGGCTTTTAAATATTGATTTTTCAATAGGCTTTACTGTCGACAATTTGAAAGCCCAAGGCCATCTATAAAAATATGTGTTCGAGATATAGCAACGGTATCGACAGGCAATATTGTAAACATTATGTTTTAGTAGATCACCAAGTTATGAAACACTAGCTGGTATTAATTAGAAGGAACAAAATCTCAAATATAGCAATTTTTAAAAACTGTCACCTGTCCAGACATTTTTCAAAACAGTTTGCTTCAGCCCACAGGCTTCAAACAATGCTGCCTCACTCTTCATTATGCATACATTTATTAGAAAAAATATAGTCTTTGTCACCTTAATATTTATGCTTATATATCATCGTTAACTTACGAGAATGAGAAGGGACAAAATTGGTCCCTCTGCTCATAATAAGTTTGATATTTTTCCCCTAAATTATGCAGTTAATAAAAAAACAAGGTTGACTTTCGGGCTACTAGGTGGTAAGTGCACAAAATATGAATTAAACCATCAAATCTAAAATATCAACTTTCAGACCCGTGTAAATGTCTCGTGGAATCACCCTATGATGAATGTCGCCATATTTATCTTAACATATCCCTTTAAAATGTTCAGAAATTCAGACAGAATGACGTGTCCGATCTGAAAAAGCCCACTATTCCAATCATTCTGCGCATATCATAATGCTAAACAAGCAGGCTTTCGAAAATACCGTGCTTGCTAAAATTGGCAAACACAGCATGAAAAACTGCTGAGTGCAATAGTTGCACACATGACTAGCAGAGCAACTGCAGTCTCCAATCTCAAGACTCTGTAGACTCCAGGCTGCAGCAACAGCTGACATACACCAGATTGCTCTAGCAATACCAGCTGTCAGCATAAAAATGTCCCCTTTTCTGCTCCGGGCGACCCTAATTCAAGTATACCAGAAGATCACTGTACTGTAAAAAGTTTTCCACACATTTAACCTAACCGCAACCACATAGTGACAAAGAAAAATTGAAGAGACACGAAAAAGAAAGCAGTGGAGAAGAGAAAGAAGAAAAGATGGTGATCATTTAGCATCAATAAACTACTGAAACTGCACTGCTTTCGTAGACTTTTGCATTTGGTATAGTCGAGTATAGAACAAGATGTGAGTGATGTTCAAGGTTGTACAGCGATACGGCCAGCCTATCGTGATGAGCCACAAGCTCGGCAACTCTGCAACGGAGGTCCAAAGATGGCGACTCCTCATTTACTGCGCACTATGGCTTTCAAATCTAATGCAGCACTGGGCAACACCATCGCTGAAAGCACTATGACAATCCACTTTTTTTTATTTTCTTATGCCACCCTCTGCCGTCTTAATAAGCGCTGGGGCAACCGGTATTACCAGAAACAAAGCCTCCCAGATGAAAAAACATTTTGCAACTTTTTTGCTAGGGGAAGCACGCTCGTGCTGGGGCTTTGTCGGCCAACCGTTGCTGACTAAGCAAGATCTTAGTAACATCCCTAGCCTCGTCACAAATGCACTTTCTTCAACTTGGGCATTTTTGCAACACACTGTTGTAACTTCTCGAATTGCGAAGTCAGCAATCCTAAAGTTAAGAAGTTATTTCAAGTATACTTGCAACATTCTGTAAAGGGAAAGTCAACAAAAAGCCAGAAGTATTTGATGGCCCCTCTTCTAGTGCTCACACATAGCTTGACTACTACGAATACATTTGTAAAAAAATTTTTTGTGCTCGAGGCTGACTCGGACTGCATGTCAAACTATTTAGCCAGAATATCAAAAAATATCACAATGTACGAAGAACAGCCCTGGAGTGCATGGAAAGACAGCTTTACTTCTGCTTTTCAACGTAATGCACTTGAGTCATGAGACGACACGTTTTCAATATATGAAACCTTCTAAGATTTGTGATGCTTGGAATGACGAGAGAGCACTGACAGCAAATACAACTCACGTCACCGTGCTCTCTGGAAGCTTCTTTGTATGATGAGGAATATTGATGTCACCAATACCAGAATAGAAACGACAGCGTCACATCACAGTAAGCAGTTGAACTTCCAGGTACCTGATTACAGGACGAAGTAAGCTATAAATTTATACGCACTAATTGTCCTAGTACTCCATTTTCAAGAACTGCGAGACACTACAGAGACTGGGACAGACACAGAGACTCAAACACAACTGAGTAATGAAACAGAGAGCGTATTTATTACAAAACAAACACACACTCTTTATGTTGCTATGTTTGTCAATAATCAAGCACTGTCAGTAATTGCTGATACTGGAGCATCTGTAAGCATGATAAATGAAAGCATTGTGTGTCATGATGATACCATCACGGGAAGGTCCATTCACAAGCGTGGCTACGATGGCACATGTAGAAATTTCTCCAGATGAACAAATGCTAAACTTCAGTTCAGCAGCCAAGAGTTCAGTCAAATGTACCATCCAGACTTGACTTTGACTTTATGCTCTCTCAATCGGATATGAAGTGCCTACTGATCAACCTTCTGGGGAACGATGCAATATGATCAGATAAGGACTGCGATGAATGGTGCGTGTTTGCAAGTGTATCTTTAAAAAGTGCGCAGAGTAAAAGCAAAGGAGCAGCAAAGTGCTCGCGCGCCGCGCTTCAAACGACAATGACGATGTCGAAGCAATGTCGAGCATGAGAACGCGTGCCGCAAGAGATCAGCGTGCGAGTGGCCCAATAGGAAGTCACCACGGAGATTCCAGGAGCCAATGACTAGGCACCACAAAAGTGCAAGATTTCCAATGAAAAGCTGACAAGTGGGACAGAGTTTGAAGAGGATGAGGCGAGCAGAAGGTTGTCACCGGACCAGGCGCTAAACAATGTAATGAAGGACGCGTGGTGTTCATGACACAGTAGCCAAATTACAATAACCATTAAAGTACATGACTAAAACAGAGACTGAGCTGTACGATGCCTCCCACAGCATTGTGGCACCGATCCTGTAATACACAGCAATAAAGACTCTGGACTGAAGAACGATAGCTGTAATGACGGCAGGGAGTCAGAAGAAAAACAGCTGTTTAGTAGGTTACCCCTTTGCTCTTTTAGGTCCCAACATCTTTTGGGGCCTTGTAGTGCCAATGCTCAAGTAGTAAATCCTCTGCGCAGTCTTTTCAAAACTTTTCCGACACCCAGGCATCACAGGCAAGCGCCAACAATTCTGTTAATGCCGCGGTAAACTTCTTCAATTCTTGCCAACGTGAACTTCATTTTGTTGGGTGTGTCAATAATCATGATGTCTCCAGCCGCCAGGTTGTGGGAAGAAGATCCAGGAGAACAATGCCTAGATGGTAGAGTGCGAACATATTGATGCTTCCAACGTCTCCAAAAATGATATAATAAATTCTGATTAGAGGAGTTTATTGGCGCAAGGGCCAGATATGGCCAAAGAGCGCCAGAGCGATGATAATGAACTGTGGGATGTGCAGTGTAGATAAAACAGATGTGACGTGGCTGTAAAT